AACAATCAAGATCAAAACCAGAAAGCAGTCCCTGTCTTCTTCTGTAAGGACAAGTCTGGGGGCATGGGACGTTTCCCACTAATCCTGGCCTTCCTCTACTGAAAGGCAGTATAAGCAAGATAGTTTTCAGCAGCTCTGACGTCTCCTAAATAGTGAAATCTGTAAATCTGGAAAACAGCTCATCCATTGAACAGAGTCTTTATAAGGATGAAATATAATAGCGCACGCAGAAGGCTCAGCTGTGTAACAACCCTTGAGGACACCTGACAAATGTCACTGATGAAGATGATGATGATGACAACAATGACGACGGAGAAGGCAGCTGTTAACACTGCAATGTTCTTGCTATGACCTCAGGATAAAGCCTGAGGCCCCATCTGCAAAGCTGCTTCTGACTCCAGCATTAGTCCTCCTGTTATTTCAGAAGGAAGGAACAGGGTGACTCATATCACTGCACAGCGGAGCTCTGGGCTGGCCTACACCTGCTGGAGAAAGGAGGGCCTCAGGTGAAGAGGAAATATGGGCCCTTGGGCCCAGCTGTGTGGCCATGGCTTTCCGAGGTCTCACATGCAGTGTGATCATTATCACCAGCCAGGGGGCCCAGTGGACATGGAGCCAAGGCCCTTGGAGAACAGGTCCCTATCAGAGCCCAGGTAATGAAGTTATGCCACCTGGCCTCACACAGGGCAAATGCACTCAGCCAAGGTGACACTTCTACCCGCTCCTGCACGTGGCTGGGACTCTGCCTGGGGAAGCAGTTGGCCCGGGCTATGGAGCTGTGGAGGCAGCAATATTCCGGGCCTAACAAGGGGACACTAAGACTTTGAGTCAGTTCCCCAATTCTGCATGGGGCTGAGGTCCCTTCTGGGTATTCAGTTGAAGCTTTAGAACCACAAAGGGACAAGATACCAGTTGCAAAGTGTGCCAAGTTGACCACACAGCACTGCACAGAACAGAACCCCAGTTGGCTCATGATTCTATCAGGAAAAAGTTCAGCAACACAAGTAGTCCAAGAAACGCATATTAAAGCAGAATTTATTGATGAACACACTAGTAAAAATGCAAATACTGTTATCTGAGTATGGGGAATGATTCCCACACAATCCTGGCTAGTGTGTAAATTAGTACAATCTTTCTAGAAGGCAATCCAGCAATGTGCTCACCAAACGCCTGCATAGTTTCTTTGCTGGAGTAATTTTACTTCTAGGAATTTAAACGAAGGACAGAAGACATACACACAAAGATATTCATTTTAGCACAGCTTATAATAGCCAAAAACAAAACAAAACAACAATAACAACAACAGAAAAACTGAGTAACAACAGAGGATTGATTAAATCCATTTTAGTTTAATATTCTTATGAAATACTATACAATCATTAAGACATTATGCAGAATATTTATTGATGTGGAAAGATATTCACAACATTTTGTTTGGAGGAAAACAAAGTTACAAACAGTGTAATTCCACCTCCACAAACTACACACAGAGGATGCACAGAATAACTTCATTTTAAAAAAAAACAAATGACCTACATGAACAGGAAAAAGTCTAGAAAACATGAAAATGGTTTCATGTTTTCTTGGTAACAAGAATGGTTACCTCTAGGCCATTTTGCATGTTCCTGATCCTTTTTTAAATGCTTAACAGCAATTCTCACAGCACTACTATTTTTAAATAAAGTATTGGGCAGGATGGTTTATGAAGTTCCTGCCATCTCTGACGTTTTGAACATCTATGACTGATGCCCTAAGTGACTTCAAACAACCCATATTTAGTGTGGGCTTGCTGTGTGGCTTCTGGGGCCTCCGCTTTTGCCCACAGCTGCCGCCCTCTGCATTCCTCTCTCCCCACACTCGCTGCCCAGCTGTCGCTGCTGCCAGCCCGGGAGCCTCTGCTTGGCAAGACCCAGCTGTACCCCTGTCTGCAATCCACGTGCCTAGCCAAGAGCAGAGTGAAAGGAACAGGGCTCTGCACACTGACAGGTGTCAGCAAAGAAACCCAAGGCACAGCTCTAGCATCTAGCATCTAAGTTGTATAACAGACTACAAAAGCCAGGAGAGAGAGGACAACCGGGTAGGGAAGGCCACTGGGTGAGGCCAAGCGGCACGGGTGGGCAAGGCACTCTGGACAAGAATCGGAGCCTGAGCAAGAAAAGACGCCTGCCCAAGTCCTCTGGGATGGAACCTCAAACCTCTGAGAAACTTTCGCAATCCTATTCTACAAAATCTCTGTGCTTCGGCCCAGTGGGTAAAAGATGTCTCCTAAAGTTCTCCCTCTACTCGAACCCTGGATTAGTCACTAAAGACAACAAAACTTTTGAATGAGGATAATTAGTTGCCATTTTATCCACTTTCTCCAGCCCTCCGGAGGGGAGAGTTGGAGGAGGGGAGGCTCAGGAAGAGGGTGCAGGGAGGGAAGAGGAGGCTACGGGGAAACCCAGACAGTTCGCGTGCAAACATTCCTCACCCCCACCACCAGGCCAGTGGATTCTTCCTCGCAGGCACCACAGCCCCATTTGACAGATGGAGGATGAGGCTCCAGGAGTTCAAATGGCTTGCTCCGGGGTCACCCAGTCAGAGAGTGGGGAAGGCGACTCCACTCAGGCCTTCTGACTCCAAGTCCAGTGCTATTTCGAGGTAACACACAGGACCTGGAGTCAGGAGTCCTGGGTGGCTCTGTCACCCGCTGACTGAGTGGTCCTGTAGAAACCGCTCACCCCTCGCAGCCTCTTTCCCCAGCTGTAAAATGAGGAGGCCCTTGATGGCCCGCCCAAGTCCTCTTCCGGCTGGGCTCTCTGAGCCTTCTAGGGGTGGCTGCAGAGCTCGTCCTATCCATTACATTTCCCAAGTTGGGCCGGCAAAGATCATCAGAGGAGCTTGGCCTGTCACGTGGTCCAATTAAAAAAAAGCAAGCAAACGTCCCAGATTAACTTCCACTGTACTGCTTCTGCTGACGCCTGATTATCCACTTTTCTAGCTTCCTTAGGTGAAATGGCCCTTGCGTCGGTTAGCGGGTGGCCAGCAAGGCAAATAATTATTGGTGAGCCAAAAGCCGACGATGGGGTTAAAAGCCAGACTCTGATCCAGTGCGGACGATTCCTGCTGCGGGTCCCTAACAAGCCTCTGGCTGTTTCAGGGCTCCCTCACACGCGTGGCAGGGTACAGATTTGCAGGCGCGCCCCAGCAAGTGGGCAGCATCTTGCACCCCCGAGCGCCCCCTGACCACCGTCCCCAGCGCAGAGCTCCGGGCTCCACGCCGCGGCTCCGAGGCCGCCCAGGCTGAGCCCGCCTTCGGCGCACACACAGGCGCGGGGCGTGTGACGGAGCCCGGCGCCGGCGACGGGAGCTCCACCGCAGTTTCGTCAGAGGTAAAGGTACGCGCCCGGCGCGCGCCGCGTGTGCACACGGACACACACCCGCGCGCGCAGCCCGCCGGTCCAGCAGCCACCCCGACCCGAGCGCGCGAGCACCGCCGCCGCCAGCCCCTCGGCCTCGGCCGCCAGCCCACCCGAGCGCTCCCGCCACCGACCGCACGGCGCCGCCGCGTCGGCAAGCGCCGGGGCCGGCTTCCTCTCGGCGACACCCCGCCGGGCCGCGCCGTCCCAGCCGCCAGCCCGAAGTCGCCACCCGGAGTCCGCCGAGAGCTCAACGTCTTCTCTGCAGCTGCGTCCCCTCCAAGTCGCGTTTCACCGCAAGGAGTCAGCTTGCAAGCCTCTCCCCGCCCACCCGGTCCCATGACAGCTGCTACCGCCCAAAGACTGGCAGATTATAACAAGAAGCAAAGTTTCTCTCTCCTCCCACCTCCAGCCCCCCGCCTGCCCCCTCCCTTCCTGTGTTATGCAAAACGGGCCGGCACCGGCGCTCCCACTCCAGGTACCAAAGCAGCCCGCGAGAGCCGCACCCGGCTCTGCCGGCGGCCCCTCTCCGCACCCCGAAGCCCCCTGGTATTCTAGGGTCCCCTCCAGGGCTCTGCCGCATTCCGAGCCTCTCGGTCACCAGCAGCCCAGCGCTCGCAGAAAAAGCCCCAACTCTGGAGCCAAACTTTACGCTTGCAACAGGCATGGGGTGGGGGGAACAGGGAAAAGGATTGGGGGCGCGCACGCCTCGTGCAGTCATTTCTGGGAACTGCTTGTCCCAGCAGCGCTCGCCTCCGAGTCTCCAAGCCACCAGCTTACCCAAGTCCTCCCCCACCCCGGCACACCAGAGCACCCTCTCCTGTCACGCGCGTGTCGCCGGTGGGGGTCCCAGGCTCAGTGAGAGCCCGGGACGCCGCCTCGCCTTCCCTTCCCCCTGCACAGTGGAGCACGCGCCGGGGCCGTACGACGCAGGGGGGACCCAGGAGCCCCCAGACAGTCCTCCCGCCCCCATCCTGCCCTGCTTTTTCCACGGGAGGGGCCCGATCGGATAGCGAAACCAGGAAGGCGCTATCTCCGCCCGCAGGTCCACGTGCCCTGCAGACCCCAAGCCCTCAGCCGGCAACTGACAGGAAACTCCGCGCTGCGGGAGTCGCTGGGGAGCTGTGGGGTGCAGAGAGCAGCACTTGGGGGGCCAGGGGCCGGAGAACCAGGAGACTCCGGGGGTGCGGGTACGCGCCCGTGCCGGGGCCACAAGTCCACGTGAAAGTACGGCAGCAAGTGCGGGGCGCTCAGGGCGCGCTTAGAGCACCCCGAGGGCCTTCCGCACCGCGTCGCGGCTCGAGCTCCCCGAGGAAGCGCGGGGGCCCCCCAGATTGCCCGCAGGGGGTGGCGGACTCCAGGTGGCCCAGACTAAACCCTTCCCAGCCGCTATGCGTCCCCAGTGCTCCAACACAGACCGCGGAACCTCCGGCTACCCCGGTTACGGAGCGCATCGCAAGGCGCATGGAAAGGGGGCTCTGCAGCCTGGAACCCCCGATCTCCCCAGTGCGCCCACCGCTGCGTCCCTGCCTCCACGGCTGCGGCTGCAGCCCCAAGAGCTCAGCACCCTGGCCCCAGGCCTGCGGCCCCGGCTGGCCGTACCTGCGTGTCGGCGAGATAGTTGAGGAAGAAAGAGGAGAGCTCTTCATCCAGCAGAGCGCCGCAGTCGTTCCCCGCCATCTTCCAGCCGCGGCTGCAGCGTGCGGCGGAGTCAGCGCCGAGCCGGCCCGGGGGGAGGGAGCGAGCGAGCCAGGGAGGAGGAGGGAGGAGGCGGCGAGACCGGCGGGAGGCGGAGGGCGGAGCTCTGGCCCCCGGCTGCCGCAGGGCCGCTGGCTGCGGGGGCGGGGCTGCGCGAGCTAGGGGTCGCACCCTCACTTTCCTGCGCAGCGTCCACCTCGGCGACCCGGTCCTGCACCCCCCAGCGGGGAGGAAGGCACCACAGCCAGGTGGTGGTGCCCCAACCAGCAGCCGCTGCCTGCGCAGCAATGCGGGCAGCCCCCCTCTCCGGCTCCTACCAGAGCTAATCACGTTGCGTTAGCGCTGGGCAGGCCCTGCCAAACAACCTGCTTCTGCACAGCTGGGGAAACTGAGGCTTGGGGGAGGGGGCTCAGGAACCTTGTCTGAAGCCACAGTGAGCTTTCAGTGGCAGAAAGAAAAAACTCCGGAGGCCTGGGTTTCTCTACTCACGCTTCAAGGCCACAGAGAGAGGGAGAACTGTCACAGGCCAACGGTGAAGAAATCGAAGAAGGCTCCTCAAAGGCAGTGGCCTCTTACTATTTCTTTGAAGTTACAATGCCTATACTTTTTAGGATGCATTCTGTTACACCTGATCCTACGGCTCCCTCCCAGTGTCACCCAGTAACCTCCCCAGAAAAAAAAAACAAAAAAAATTTCAACAACTTCTTACACGGCCCACTTCTTTAAATAACCAGGTTCCTAGGCCCACTGGTCTCCGAGTTTTAGGGTGAAACCTCCATAGGGGCCTCTACACCAGCACATTGACCTGGGCATCCCTCTCAGGGCACCCTTGCCCCCTGGCAGTGGATAATCAGCCAGTCTTTTTCCTTGCATCCCCACCATAATGGGCACACATTTGCTTTAAAAACTGTTCTGTTGCCCTTCTACCTTTGATTCAGAAAGGATTTGAGTCTCTCTTTACCAAACTCTAAGGCCCATAAACAGGGCCTGCGTGTCCTTGGTTTTGTCATTTGTCGATGGTTTTCCAGGACTGAGGATTGAAACCCGAGCCTTTTCACGGAGCTACATCCTCAGCCCCTGATTAATTCTGAGACACGGTCTTGCTAAGTGACCTAGGCTGGGCTCGAATTTGCAACCCTCCTGCCTTGGCCTGCCAGAATAGCAGGATTACAGGTGGGCATCTCCACACCCGGCTCCTACATCTGCTTTTGCATTTGCTGTACCTCCAGTTCATAACAGATGTGTAATAAAGTGTTTACTGGAAAAGCTGGAGGATTTTGATCATCACCACCACCACACACAGCGTGCACATGAGGAAAATGATGGTCATGGATGCACTCAGAGTGAGTATCTGAATCAGAGCCAGGACTCAGGCCTCTGGGCTGCAGCACTCTCATGATTGCGCCCTGTTTGCTAAGCGGGGAGGTGAGGACACCGCCTGAAGGAGAGTGTGAAGGCGGGAAGATTTAGGCTTGTTTTATTGGGCACGCCTGCCTCCCACCTTCCTCCTGCCCTGTACTCCTGGGGCTGCCTCACCCTGCCTGGCTAGTGAGGCCTCCTCTCCAGCCACAGGAGGAAGCAGTGTCCCCAGCACACCTGCTCAGACTTGAAGAGCAGAGCAAGAGCTTCCTTCTCCTCCTGTCTGAGGTTCCCAGAACCGCAGGGTGTGATTTCACTCTTTGGGCTTAAGGCCAGCAAGCTTTTAAGGAACAGTACATGCCAACAGAGAGCCTACATCTAGCCTCGGAGCACTGGACTGGCATTCAGGAGCCTTGGGTTCTCGTCCAACCCCTGACACTTATTGTTCCAGGAATGGTAACTCAAAAAGGTTTAGGATTGGAGTCATGCTGTGTGGTTTTGAATCCTAGCAAGTCATTTGGTCCTAGGCCCTGGTTTCCTCATCTATATAAATGGGGATCATAGAATTACTTCATGGGGATGATATGATGACCAAGAGATAATATATGTAAAGTGCTGACCTCATCGGGGGGAATCTAGGCAGTCTGGTCCTCTCTTCCTCTGTATAAATGGAGATCAGATAAATTTCCCTTAAAGGTACTGGCTAGCACTTACAGGCTACTGGCGTACCTTGGATTCCAGTACACTTTGATGTGACTCCTGGTATGAACTGGCAACAGGCTGTTATTTTACTTAGAAGAAAAATGGTCATTTACTTATCAACCTTTCTGAGCCTGGGTTTCCTCATCTCTAAAATGGTGATCTCATTGGTACTGCTCCACACCAGGATTTTGTAAGGGCTGAATGAAACGATGCATGTAAAGCAAATTGTTTCTCACTGCATCTGGCAGATGAGATGTCCCCATCACTGCTGTTATAACCACTACCAATATTATCACCATCAGCACCAAGCATTTTAACTCTCCCAAGGTCCGGTGTTTGGCTGCTGCTTCTGGACAACAGAGTCAAAGTCGCCTGGGATGCTTTCCAGAGCTGTCCCTATTCAGTTTGGTCCATCATTGGTGATGTACCCTTTGTAGCCCAAAGTCCAGACTGGAGGATGCCCTTGCCCAGCCATCTCTGGCCTTGCAGAACTGTGTGCTGGCATTTATAGGTCTCAGCCAAGGCAGCACCGCTCTTTTGTACTGAGCATGTGCCAGACACCTGAACTTGTGTCATCCCTAATCCTCCCAGCGTCCCTCAGCAGGGTGAATCATAATGTCCACTTTATGAATGAGGAAGCTAAGGCTTAAGAGGGGTTAAAGCGATTAACTCCAGACCAGGCAGCTAGCGACACAGCTGAGATCTGCAGCCAGGTCTGTGCCCACGGCAAGCCATAGGTCCTGGAAAATGAGGAAATGCATCTCCCAGCCACTAACCACCTAGGGGAACCTGGAGTGGTGGCACATTTCCTTGATATGACTGGCAGTGAAGGGCAATAATAAAGCCAAAATCAGACTTCACGTGGCTCCCTTCTACCTTCTCTGCCATTTTATTGACCTTGCCTCCCCTGAGAGTAGTGAAAGTGAACCCCAAACCTATCCAGCACCAAGCCCCGAGCTCTGCAGCTCTACGGTGATGGCTACTGTAAAACAAATCTACAGTATTGGCTTGATTATTTTAGTCTCTGACAAATGCTCCAAAGTGAATACATCAGCATTTTCTTCCTTCACATAATAGGAGAATGATTTATTCAGACACTACAGCTGTGGTTCTCAAGCTCTGGAGACTATGAGAGTTATTGGGGCCTTGTTTCTAGAGATTTCACTTCTGTAGGTCGGAGGTAGGCCCTGATTTTCACGGGCTCCTCAAAAATGACTTTACTTTAGGAGACTACCCATCACCCAACAGATATTTAATGAGCACCTGCTATGGTATATGCCACTGTGCTAGGTGCCATGAATAAGTCAGTGAACACTACAGCCACCATCACTGCCATGTTCTGTTTGACATAGCTGCTTAGTAAACTTTTGTTGGATGGGTCCTGATATTCACCGAGGTTTCCTGTGAGCTGCCCACAACTCTGTGATTCTGTGACCCAGGCCAGGGAGCCAGATGCCTGCCTCCCAGCTTCTGTCCAGGAGGCAGAGATTCAGGCCAAGAGGAGCTAACAGGGAACCTGCTTGATATTGTTCATCCTCCACCTCCCAGGGAGTGACAGAACTTCAGGTCTGCAGAAGGGCAGTAGAAAACACATCCACTGGCTTCACAGTATAGATAGAGGAGTGTGTGGCTTCAGAGCCAGGCCTGGAGGCCAGGGCTCCAGACTGTGTATGTATAGTGCTCAGATTGCTTCCATAGGACCAATGTCTCCTCGGGGCTGGTCCTTGGGAAAGACATCCTCTAGATGACATCATTTGAGAGTCTCAGAGTTGGGATTATCAGGGGGTTGAGCTGATGCATAAAAGCCCATCCGTGATAAGCAAGACAGTATTAGTATTCACCCTCTTTGTCCTGTAGAAACAGTGGAGCGCTCCAATACATTTAGGGGAAACATTGAGCAGATCACTTTCTCTTTCATTTGCTAAAAATGGTTAAAGGACTTCCAAGTCAGCAGGCAGATGAAGGGAACTTAGCAGCTCAAGAGTCAAATCTTACTGTGTCTTTTTCTTTTTTTATCAGTACTGGGGATCAAACTCACGACTGCCCGCTTGCAAGGCAGATGCTTATGCCACTGAGCTAAATCCCCAGCCCCTAAAATCTTACTGTTCCTCCACTCACTCTCCTTGCTCCAGCAGTAACCACACAAGGTATGAACATAAAGAAGTTGGTGCTGGGGACCTAACTCAGCAGAACAACGCCTGCCCTGCAAGTGCAAGGTCCTGGGTTTGATTCTGAGTACCAAAAAATTAAAATAAAATTGTAGCAGTAAATGTAAATAAGTCGAAGTTAGGTAGAGGTAATAGATAGGTGATTTTCCTATCTGTTATCAGGTTAAAAGAAAAATTGGGCTGGGAATTTAGCTCAGTGGTATAAGCAGCTGCCTGGCAACTGTGAGGTTGTGAGTTTGATTCCCAGTACAAGAAAAAAAAAAATTCTACACAAGGTTCTTTTTGTATCCACATTAGAGTGCAGAAAACAGAGATCCAGAGATGTGAGCACTTTTTTTCTTTACAGAGATACAAATTCCACCAGACATATATACTATTATGTATATTATATATGTGTGTGTGATATTTGATATACATTTATATGAGAATAGCAATATTTAAAAAGACAATCACTTGACATTAAAGGGCACGATGGTTTACACAAAACCAAACTTTGCATAATCATCAAATAAGAGAAGCAGATAAAAAGAACTCCTGAATAAGCCATCATTTACTGGCTTTGGGACCTTGGGAGAAATCACTTCATGGGGAAAAGCATCGTGTCTGTCCTACTTGCCCTAGAGTTTTGTGTGGATCAAGTTCCTTTTGAATAAGACTTCATGATTTCCATTCACTATTCTAAGACATCAACAACGTTCTTTGGAGGAATTTATCTTAAAGGTCTGATTTAAGAGATGAAAAATCACAGCATGATGTTTATAATACAATACACACTTTGATTCAAAAAACATTTTTATATTCTGGGTATATGCTGAGTATCAGCAACATGCTACAGATCCACAAATGATGACCTCAGTGCAATCTGCACTCCCCTACACTCACAATTCTGTCTCCACCTTGTAAGGGGAAAGCAGAGTCACCACACAATTTGGTAACGTATAATAAGTTCTTCAGTAGAAAAAGTTGGGGGGAGGGTGGGGACTGGAGGACTGAGTTAAGGGGCCAGTTTGGCTAGTCTCTTCT